GGCTTGTGTTATGGATACCAGATAGTTGATACACTACACATAATATAACTTTAAATACATACATATTATAAATATAAACACCCATGACTGGAGTACAAACATTCGTGCTCATCACACAAATGAAGGCCCCCAGCGGGACTCGAACCCGCAACCGCTGGCGCAGCAAGTAGGGTTACAACAAACTAAGCCAAACGTGTCGTCATATTATTTCTTCCAATAAAAAAAATGAAATAAGGGTAATAATATTTGAAAAATATTATGAACCAAGCCGTGGTCTAACACTACTGTCACAGACTAATATAAAAGTAAAAGAAATAAACAAAATTGTATATCCCAAGATTGCACAATATATCATCTCGATCCGATAAGAAGTTATTCAATCTGAGGCAAAATATGACATGCAAAACTTTTCTTAGCAGATGGCGCCATGACTCTCATATGAAGAGGTATTTATGCTAAATATATTTACTTGTGACTCTGCTTGCAAAAATATTTTTTTTAGTATTATTGTATGTATGTTTGTACAATAGAAAAAAAATATGGATGTGAGGTTTTTTTTAAATTCCTTTTTTTCAAGCCTTAACCGTATTCTTAAAAGCGATGAGATTTGCTTGAATTTCGAAAAATATGCCTTTCGAAGTACGTTTGTATTTGACTTGTTGCTAATAATTATTAGGTTTATTTTAAGTTCCCAGTAATTCCGGAATAGATAATAAAAATTGATATCAATACAATATTTTCTTTGAAGACGCGTGTTCTAGAAAGAGGCGCAATACAGACGGACGTACAAATAAAAATTCTTAAAACTGTTCATGTGTTTATCTTTTCGCTTTTAACTCCCAAATATATCAAAACACAAATAATATTTAATGTGTAAATTAGACATTAATTTAAAATTTATTTATATATTACAATGATGGCTTTTCAAAATATGTATGGGACCACCTTTAAATTAGCAAATATATTGAGCAGCTGCCAAAAAATACACTCAAATCAAGTATTTCTTTCTTATAAGTCGACCAAAAATAAAAGATAGTTATTTGAAACGAATTTCATCATTCGTTTATTCTGAAAAAATCAACAGAATTTCCGTTGTGCATGCATTATACAAAATTCACTTCTAAATTTAACTAGACTTCCAAAAATTGTAACGAAATTTGAGCATCGCTGTTAAGATAATGGTCCCGCCACAGACAGCCTGTAACCGTTTCTGTTTGTATAACATGTTCTACTTTCTTTTTCTCCCTTTACTGAATTTTTAGAAGCATTTTGTTAAATACAAGTGATTTTCTCTCATTTTGATCAAGACTTTAAAATATTTTTCATTTCGAAACTCTATAATAATAATAAATGTTGGGACATTAACACACAGCGCCATCTAGTACCATGGTAAGCTACGAGGCTATTTTTTGTTAGCTATTTTTTTTATGTTTAGGTAATCTCTGGATCTATTGAACCGATTTAGATGAAATTTGGTAAAAAGATAATTTGAGACCCTGGGAAGGACATAGGATACTTTTAATCCCGGAAATTATCTCTTGAAGGGGTGAATATGGGGATGAAAGTTTGCATTGGGAAGCAAGCTAGGGACGAACCCGAGCGAAGCGAGGGTGTATCGCTAGTATTTTTATAAAATTATGCGTGAGCTCTAAGTACCGGAGTTAGTGGGTTTAAATCATTCGTTAACGTGGAACGAACATACAATAAGTAGCGTACATATATATACATACATATATAGGCACAGATTGATTAGTTTGACACAAAATATTTTTTTTAAAAGTGTACAATACAATAGTTCTCTGATAACGAAAAAACAGCAAGAGAAAGTTCAGAAAAATCTTACTTTAGACTTTCAAATAAAAAAAAGAAAAAATATTACTACAGTTACATTTCACACAGTGTGAAAGAAGAATGTGTATGATGACAGCTGTTAAAGGAAAATGGAAGAAGTAACATGTTATTCCGACACGGATAAGGAGAAGAAGAAGAATAAAACTTCGCCACGGACAAGAATTAGATGTTTCTCCACACATATTTTTACAGAGAAATTATATTAGCAAACACATTTTTAGAAACACTTTAACAATTTCGGAGAATATTTAAAAAAAAAAGCCTTTTCTTATATTATTATTTTGTACATACTAAAACGTTGATCTTAATAATTTGTAGAGAAATAACATGAAAAAGTTAAACCAACGTGAATAAAAATTATATTTTATTATAATAATATTTTTAGGCGTGCCGCGAAAATAAGACCTTGTTGAAAGCTCAAGTTGGACTTGAATCTATTCTATTTCATATCAATGTACGTTGGAGCTATGTAGAGCTACCTCGTTTTATGAAGAGCTTTTCATCAAACATATAAACACTTTTCATTCAATAGCGACTGTTTTAATGAGAAACCTGAATAAGCCTCAGAATTTCTTAAGTTTTGACACGATGTCATTTTATCTTTTATATAATTTATTTTAATTAGGCACTTGATATTTTTACTTTCATTATAATAGATAAATGTTGACCGCATTTATTTAAATAGTAGTTTTAATTTAATGAAATTATATTATATATTTATTTTGGTTCAAAGGCAATCGCTTAATTTATTGAAATAAAGAAATATAATATTAATATAACACTGTATATCTCGTATCTACGGAGAAGTCAGAGTGGAACCAACCAACAAATATAGAATTTATATAAAGAAACTATAGATAATGTAGAGCTTTACTGCGAGTATACATTCACTGTATAGTTAGCATTTTTAATTAATTTTTGATAAATTTAATTTTATTTGCAACTTTTGTATGTAAATAAAAGAAAATTTTGAATGTAGCATTTTTGTTTTGACCTTATTCAAAACTAATGTTAACTGACCTACAACTACTATCTCACGTAGCGCTGAAGTACTTGAAGCATCTCCAAAATAGTACAAATATACACGAGTTAAACTGTATATATGAAAACGCTGGTTATAATGTGTTCAATTTAATTATAGGTTTATTTAAGAATTTCTCTTATTTCACAATAACAATTGCTATGCACGTAAAACACACTTTCACATAAAATAGCAAATCTCATAGCAATCGGCTAAGAATTTTGAATATTTACGAGATTGAAGAAATAAACATTTAGATTTTTTTATATGTATATTTTTCTAATTACGTTTTAACGTTTAGTATAGATTTCTCAGAGATGAAATATTTTCCCGCAATAAAAAGTATGCTATATGTTGACCCGAATAACCAGCTATCATCCTACCAAATTTCATCAAAATCTATCCAGTGGTTTTTCCGTTATTGCCGTCACAGACAGACAGACAAAAATTATAAAAACCTGTACCTACAGATTTGACTTAAAATTTTATTATAATATGTATAGATATCTTTTTAAATATTTCCTTAACATAATTGTTTTAATATTACCTATTTAAAAATGTATATCATGATTTTTAATATCTTTATAAGTCGTTATCAGCGAAGGCGAGACAATAAAGAAGTTTTAGACACGCCGCAGTTTTCTTAACTTTCTCATTGTAACTTCTCAGTTGAACTCATCAAAGTCTTCAACCTTTAAGTCTAAATTACATGCAGATTTTTATAACTCGTCCAGTTATTTCTTATAATTTCGTCTGAACAGATTTTGCCCCAGATTCTATTTGTTTATGTTTGACTAACTTAAAAGAAAGAGGAATTGCTCTATTCGAGTGTTTTTTTTGTATTTTTTTGTGTATTTTATGTAATAAATTTTGTATATTTTATGTATTTTATATAATATAAAAATTGTATAATTTATTAAAATATATTCTTAAGTTTATAAATAATATTAAATAAAATTTTAATAAATACCATTAAAAGTGAATTCAAAGTCCATCATTTTAATGAGAAGTAATTATTTCTTATACTTAGCTACATGCTTTTATACAGTATACCAGCATTATATACCTTCCACATTATGTTAGTAAAAGGCTTGTAATAACAATTATTCAAGTAAAAAACTTAAAGCAAGGTATGTTTTCTGTTTTATATTTACAAATATGGAAAATTAAGATTATTAATAATTATAAAATAAGATGGAATATATTATGAACTTATAAGTTACTACCTGTGCCACGCGGTTTCACCTGTGTTCAATTTGTTTGATTATGAACATCAGTTTTACAATAATGTATGGAAGTTCCTGTGATTAGCGCATTCAAACAAACAAACAAACTCTGTCTCTTTTTAATATTAAGTTTCAGTCTAGAAAATTATATAAACGGATTTTGCCAAAATAAATGTCTTAGTCAAAAATAGTAACGTGATTTGCTGTTTATGTTTCCATTATAACGATCTATACTATTACTTTTACTTAAAGGATAAGAAAAATGTTATATATGTATTAGTTAAATTAATATACAATACAATATAAATCATAAAAATAATAATAAATTGTTTAGTATTTTTTAAGCATTACTCTCTCCCCCTTGAAAGAAAGATATAATATTAGCTTATTTGAATTTTTTTACTATAATAAAATCCGTTAGCTATTAATTATTATTAATTATTAACATTTATTTATATATCACTCAGTATACAAATTCTCATTTGAACACTATTTTAAAACAATAAATATTATTTCGCAAACATTATTTCTTGGCTTCATGTTTAGTTCTATGACACTCTGTTAGTCTGAGTTAAAAGTATACGAATACGATTTTACAGCTCATGAGTACCACAACAGAGAAAACACCGTCTTAATAATAAATATTAAAGCAAGCTAAGTATTATTATTTTTCTATCTTTTACGCTATTAAATAATTTTTATCTTTCACTAGCGACTCACCCTCGCTTCGCTCAGGTTCGTCCCTAGGTACGTTTTGACGCTTAGTATGGAATAGATTTTTTTTTCAATTTTTTTTCATGATTTTTTCAGTTATATATTATATATATATATATATATATATATATATATATATATATATATATAAAAAGTATATAACATATTTTTAAGCATGACTAACTCACCATATATCATCGAGATGAATAGAAGTATCGCATTCAGGACGTATGAATGCCATTTCATCCTTTTCAAATCTGCCATCTTCTTTAATATTTCTTTAATAATTATTAATATTCACTTATATTCCCTACACTCTTCTTCTCTTCATTTTTACGTACATATTTAATTAACTAATCATTTAATTAAGCCCTAGTTAAGCGTTTGTGTCTTTATTAGTTTTAATTATCCAATATCATACTGTCACAACTTATCCTTTTTATCACTAGTTCCAACTAATAAATCTGTCAGCGTTTATTTTGCTTCGTAATCAACTCGTTGACAAATAACGAAGTGACACTTTCGGCTGTTAAAATTGATGTAACGTAATATATTATAAGCTCTTAGTGTTATTCTATTTTTATTTTCCTAAGGACATGTTGTACATAAATCGTTTCGGTACTTTAGTGAGAGAGCGTGCGAGGATTACTCCAGACATAACGCTTCTAAAATTAACTGAAACCACGTTAAAGGTGGCGCGTAAATTTGAAAAAAAAAATTTTTTTTTAACACAACACTTTAATAATTTATTCTTATTATTTTGTAACACAATAATTTTCAACTGTGCACCGTATTTGAGAATATTTCGTCATATCGATGTTAATTTTCGTTCGCGCGATACGCGACTGCACCCTACGAGAGTTCGGGAAGCACTGACTTACATAAGGGACCTGTCCTGTTCTAGTGTTGGGATAGAGAGGGAAGATGCTATCGTGAGGGCTGTTAATAGTTTCGAGAGGGATGGAAGAGTCATCTTTTGATATACTGAAAATCTTAGAGCAATTAAAATAAACATTGAAAGATATATTATTTATCTGTAATAATATGTGTATTAAAACTTGATCCTTTATAATGAACTAGTTAAAAATTCATGAATTTTGATTACATTTTAATAGAGAATGCTCATTTGGCTAGCGTACGCGTAATTAGCTGGATTGATAATGCTTAAATACGCGTGGTTTATGTTGGTTTATAAATTATATTAGTATTTTTGATATAATTAGAAATTTGTTAATGTAAATTTTCAGCAATCAACGTAATCAAACCAAATTGAAATCGTGGGTTAATTCTGAGTCGGTACTCTACTTAGTTCAAAGATTTCGTAAAGTGGAGAATGGGATGGTGGATCACAAAATATCTACACTTTTTATAAATTATTATAATATATTAATGACTTATAAATAATAATATACGGAAATTTTATGAAAAATGAAGAGATTTTTTTTCAAAGCTTGAACAAACAAAAGAAGGCATCATATAATAATATCATTTCACTAGAAGTGAAGGTATTTTCGTTTCTAACAGCTAAAGCTTTTAAGTTCAACGAAAAATAAGTAACAATTTTCTGTTTCTCTCAATAATAGGTATTATATTCGTTTAGTTTCTGCCTGTGGCTCTGCTTGCATTATTTAAAAATTACTTATCCTCTACCAAAGGGTTGTTGTGATATAAAATTGCTAGTATAATAAACATTTATTAATATACTGCTCGAGTACGTCCCTAGTGTAGGTACGTTTTAAATATATGAACATAGTTATTCTAAGTGTACATTAGGAGATAGACAAATCCTACTGCGGACTTTTCTGTAGGCCTTTCTAAGACCTACAATTTTCTAGTATATTGTTTTGATTTATCTCTAAATATTTAGCCAGCGTTAGCCATGCTATCGTTGAAAAAGTTTTTTTGACAATACACCGTTTTAGCTTACAAAACAACGCGTTAAATTATCGGTTTTTTCCATTCTTGTCAACGATTAATTCTTGTGGCACAGCTATCGGCAATATTTTAATTCAATATCAGCTCCCACAGCCTCCATGATTAGGAGTTTGGTCGGTCGTTTTGAGGAACCAAAAAAATGGTTTCGAGGGAATGAAAGATTTTCGAGATGTATTACTGAGCCTTCAACTAAATAGGAATAAAGGAATAAAGTACTTTTTAAGTCCCGTATATCATTATTATAAAACGACATGAAGTCAAAAATAGTAGCATAAACAGTTAAAACATGCTACTATTTTTGGCTTTGACATTTTTTGGGTGGGTTCCGCATATATAATTTCTAAATCTAAAACCCTGCATAGGCAAAGAAAACAGAGTGCCAAACGCTACTACGGTCTCTACATATCTCTTGCTTTTCCACTGTTATCATTCTCTTTATACACGCTTTTTAATTGTATTGCATAACTAACGACTTACCCTCGCTTCGCTTGGGTTCTTCCCTAGGTACGTTTTAACGGTTAGTATGGAATAGATAAACTATATATTATATGATATAATTATATATATATATATATGGCCTTCCTTAATATACACGATATCTAATGCAAAAAAAATTCAAATTACATTAGTAGTTCCTGAGATTAGCGTGTTCAAACAAAGAAACAAACTCTGCCTCTTTATAATATGAGTATAGATGAGTGAGTCAGTGAGTCATATTTGTTGTTTCATCACACTGTAATAGAGATAGCTTATATCCTTATTAACACATAAGCTATTTTAATTGATGCAACTACGGCGAGAGCGTAAAGTAGGTAAAATGGAATGAAATAATAATGAATTATTTAAATTATATAGTGCAATGACTAAAAAAACCATACTAAATGGAAATAGATCAGGTTTTTACAGAGCTTTCACTTGAAATGTAGTAAAATATATTTTATCGATTCAAAGTAATTATCTGTTTTCCTATTTTTATTTTTATTAATTTATTAAAAAAATCGGTAAAATATCGGTATGTCTTCATTAACATTGAAATAAATAAATAGGTATAGGCAGTAGCAGGCCAGTGGTAACGCGCTCGCTTGGGAAACCGAGTGAAGCGGGTTCAAATCTCGGGTCTCGCACTTCTGATATTTTCATGTGCGAATCATTTCTAACATGATTACCACTTGCCTTACGGTGAAGGAAAATATCGTGAGAAAACCTGCATGTCTGAGAGAACCTAGCAAGTTTTCAAAAGATGTGGAGTCCACCAACCCCCACTTGGCCAGCGTGGGGTGGACTATGGCCTGTATCCCCTCGTACTGAAGAAGTCGTCGTTAAAAAGAGCAGAATACAATATATGTATATTTTCCTTTTTTCCCTCTCAATGTTTTATATTTGTTGGTAAATGTTATGTACGCTTGTTATTGATATACATATCAGTGTGTGGTACTTTTCAATTTTTATAAAATTTTGTGTGTTAATGTTAAATATGTATATTTTAAGTGTGCTTATGAAATAAATAAATTAATCAATATAAATTAATTTAAATACCGATATAATTTTATTTGTCTTACATTAGAAGTTTAACTAGATTTTTGAAGTCTACGGGACCTGAACTCTACACGTTCTTCAGAAAAGATCATGACAGACAGACAGACAGACGTAGAGAGAACGAAGTGATCCTAAAAATCTAACATATCAACAATCCCATAAGGATTTTTGTTTCTTTTTAGGTACGGAACGTTAAAAAAACAATACGAGATGGGAAGAGTGAGAGTGAGAAACTTGATAAGATAAAATTACATAGTAGTACTAATTGTAAACTATTCTCATAACATCACGATTTAATTTATCAAGATTTCATGCGGTAATCAAACCTGCGACCTTTTGCATACTGGTCATTGCTAATTAGATATGCTGCAATATATCACGACGTAGCGTCGTTGACATTTTAATTCATCACATAATATAAGTTTAAATTAATCCCGGTTTTGAGTGAAATATTTAAGCCGGCCGACACTTTTGTTGCGTTGAGCCTTACGATGCGACCCGAATAATTTATATGAATTTTGTTTTCATAAACCATTTAAGTGGTCTTCAGTTATACTATTTTTAGGTTAAATATTGATATTCCTAATAAAAATAATAACAATATGTTCTAAAATTTTAGTGTAGTAGTTCGTGATTGAGATTTTTATGTGTTTTTTCTATATTTCACAACACTTTAGTACAAAACTTGGTTATATTTATAAAGCCAAAGAATTTGTTATTTTGTAGTTCTAACGCGAGCAAAACCGCGGGTTCTGCTAGTTTTACTATATAACAGACCACAAGCAAATGCTAGTAGAGAATATTACATAGCTCTATAGAGAGAGTCTTGTACTTTCTTTTTTGAATGAATTGAGGGCAATATATGCTGGATGTTGTTTTCAAATGCTTTTCTTTTATCTTAAGACTAAGCACGGCTCACAAAGAAATATTAAAGGAAAGTAGTACTGTTAATTATACTACAGTAAACACACGAGTGTTAATGGCTACGTATGTTTATGATATTTTTAATTTCTTTACTGTGATAAAATTTTATTTAAAGCTTAATAAAATTCCGCCCGCCCAAAGTTTCTGACAATACAATTAGTAATCGATAGATGGCGTGCTAGTTGTACGACATTATTTTAGATTATTATTAATATGGAAAATTAGTGGGCAAATCGTGGAGAGTCTAAATTTTCCTATATTTACGACACTAGGTGTTAGCGGAAAGGTACATTTTAACGATTAGTATGGAATAGATAGGTTATATATTATATTACTGCTCCGCTCCCTTGGCTAGTAGCATGATGATATATAGCCTATACTCTTTCTTAATAAACAGTTTATCTAATTCAAAAAGAAATTTTCTAATTGAATTAGTAGTTCCTGAGATTAGCGCGTTTAAACAAACAAACAAGGAAACTGCCTCTTTATAATATTAAAGTATAGATAATATTAGGTAAATTGTAAATATTTAAATTATGTACTTCAGTTATGATTTGGAGGCTTATACAAGGTGTCATTCTTCAGACGTTGAGAAATAGAAAAAAAATATACATAATAATATATGGGAGTTATGTTTCGACATATAACTACAGTATCCATACTAATATTATAAATGTGAAAGTGTGTTTGTTTGTTTGTTTGTTTGTTTGTTTGTTTGTTTGTCTTTCTTACACGTCGAAATGGCTTGGTGGATTAGCGTGACTTTTTGTGTGGAGATAGTTGGAGGGCTGGAGAGTGACATAGGCTACTTTTTACCGCGGGAGATAATCTCATTCCCACGGGAAAACACGTTATATTACAATTCAAAA